CAAATATGTATAATATTACAATATTACAAAATTTATAATTCTAAAATACCTATTCTTCATTTTGTGTAGTGCGCTGCGAATCAATTATATCAGAAATCAAAGTAATAAGAAAGTCATACTCTAGAAAATGACCGTGAACAAAAGAAAAATTAATACTTAATACATACAAATTAATAATATAAAATGATGTACCTTGTCAGTTATATTAAGTGAAAGTGTTGAGAGTCCATTAATAAAAAGAGAGAAAAAACGCAGGAGATCGTACTCCATATCGTGCTAGAATATATTATTAATTGAAGCAAATTTGCAAGAGTAACGAACATCTGACTTCCATGATATTTAATAATGCCGAGAAGGAAAAACACTCACCAAAAACGGAAAATGGCAACAAAGGGAAAAAGAAAGAAAGATATTAAGAGGGAGAAAGAGAATATATAATGTGAGAATACAATTCAGGCAAAGAATCTATATCGTTTTGTCTGTTTATTCCATGTTTTTGTTTCTTAATATGTACCATTTCAGATATTAATCTTTTATTGCATGAAGGTTCTATATCTAATATATTTACTTTATCTCATTTAAAGTTGTAATTCTTCTCCATACGTGATTAGAAATCACCGATGGAGATTTTGAACTTATATTAATATCTGAAACATGTTCATGCAGTCTAGTCTTTAATTGTCTTTTAGTCTAGCCAACGTAACTGACATCACAATTCTCACAAGATATTCTGTAAACTACATTTTGATTATGTACATGTTCCAGTTATTCTTTCCTCTTTTTATGAAATTTTTTTAATGTGTTAAGGATGGTAAAAGCCAATTTGCAATTAAACATGTTAACAGTAGGTGTAAATCTTTCAGATATTGTATTAACATATGGAATAGTAAAAAATTTTTCTATCTTATCCTTATTATTATTCAAACTATAAATATTGTTGATATGAAATTGAATTCTATTAATGAATTAATTTAATTTTATTATGAACGAAAAAATAAAATGTAGAGAATATCCATTATTTAAAAAAATATTAATAGCATCAATTAAATTATTGTTGAAATTTCGGATGACATAAACGAAAAATCTTATCTACAACTCCATAAATTACAAATTCTTTTATGACAAAGCGGATAGTGAATAAAAATTAAAGAATCTAAGAAAAGGTTGTTTTACGATATACGTAAAAAATAAGACTCCGTTCCTCTATGATCAACATGATATCCAAAAAACTTATTTTTCCATCAATGCCAACTTTCATAGTGAACTGCTGTCTAGTGTGTAATGAATTCGAAGTCCATAACCATATCTGCAATGACTGGTGATAAGGATGATCCCATAGGAGTCCCAAATATTGTTTGTACATTCTTTTATTATAGATAAAAATAGTGGAATTCAAGATTATCCGAAAGACAATCAAAAATTCATCTAAAGGAATTTTTATTTTCCCAGATATGGAATTCCTCTTCCAGCATCACTATCAGATGCCAAATCTATAGGTGTATATATTGGGTCATCTAAAAAGTATCCGCGGTTTTTTGTCATTAGATGTGTTGATGGTCATATATCTAGTGACAAAGTACCGCGGATACTTTTTAGATGACCCAATATATGACTATTTTTGCCATCTCTTGGAGACACAGTAATAAATTGTACGTCATACGTGAAAGCTTGTGCGTTACATCTATAACTTAAATCTAAGTAAGTGTTACGACAATTCTTGTGCTCAGACCCTTAGATGCAAGCTGATCGCAAGTTTGTTGCGACAGCCAATAATAGAAGTGTTGATTCCAAAATGCAAGCTTCAGATTGGCTGTCGCAATAAACTTGCGATCGGCTTATGTAGAATGGGCTTTATGTAGATCGGGCTTAACTCAATCCGACTTCGAGTCAACGGTCTGTTCTGTTTAACTGCAAAAGAATAGCTAAATTGTGTAAGAAATGCAGCTAAAAAGAACAGACTATTGACTTAAAGTCGGTTCGAGTCAGTAAATCGAATATGCTATTAATTTCTGTACCGCATACCGCGCTACATGTAATCACACTCTCATTAACTTCAAAATTTTTACTTTCCAGGGCCATGGCACACAAAAAACTTAAGGCAATAAGAGTATATCCACACAAACTTGCATAGCAATAAGAAAATTATCCAATCACATTTCTCTTATAAAGTCGCACGTAAAATGTAATTGGGATCGCATTTTCACTATGCTCATAGGCCAATCGTGCATATTTTTTATGTGAAATGAAAGTGCGAGAAGTGAGAACATTCGACTATGATATACAATTGACCCTCTAGAATTCGTAGGAAAGTTCTTGAATTTTAACTTATTAGAAATCGGATACATTGGAATACATGATTGGCTTCTGATAGGTTGAAATTATTTATTTTGTATTTCTAATTCCTTATTCTTTTTATTGTGCGCAGAACCAAAGATAGACTGCTTATATCATGGTGTAGAATTCTATCAGAGAAGTGCAAATGGGATTTGCTTGCTGATTAGTGAGCGATTACCAATCAAAATCGAGAATATCAGTCCCGCAACTGGGTATTAATCATGAAACTTTATCACGCTCACGAGAGTGAAAATTACAGGTGTGAGTGCGAAATGCAAGTGATACATAATCATAGTGATACATGACATTTTAGTATGTGTTTATATATATATATATTAGGTGTTGGAATTAATTCGTAGCGTTTTACAAGTGATGGGAAGTACTTTCATTAATGTATTTTTTAATGCTCATGTGAAATAAATAACATTCTTTCATTAAAAAACGCTACGAATTAATTCCAACACCTAATATATATATATATAATCAGAGAGAAAAATGAAAGAGAACATGACGGCCCAAAACCTGTAACTGCAAAATGCTTGTGGCTATGTTGTAACTGCTGTACGCAATGTGGCGCCGAATGAATTTGAGCACCGGCAATGGCTAATTAATGGCGAAGAAAGATTGGCGAAAAATCACTAAGTTCACAAAAAAATGTTACTATTATTTCTGACAAGCCATAAAGGCGGTTTAATAGATACTCAAATGAATATTTGGAACGTAGAAAGAACGCAGATTGAAAGAAAAGAGACATAATTGCGTGCGTTACGACAGCTTAGATATCGCTCGATATCGCATTACTAGGTTAAAATACGAGAAATTAAAAAATCTACAATATAAGCATTCATCTGACGGCGTGAGTAATTACCTAACAACATGAGCAGTAATCGATGCTGATCTCGCAATGAACATAAAATGCTGATTAATCTCACTAACTTAAAATCTATCGCTGGCTTAAGATCTGAGCACAAAAATTGTCGTAACACTTAGAGACTTAAGTTGTAGATGTAAGTAACACACAAGCTTTGGCGTAAAACGTACGATTCATTGCCATCTCTTAGAGACATGGCAATAAGTTGTACGTCATACGTGAAAGCTTGTGCGTTACTTATGTCTATAATTTAAGTCTAAGTAAGTATTAAGGCATAAATATTGGGTCATCTAAAAAGTATCCGCGGTACTTTGTCACTAGATATATGACCATCAACACACATCTAGTGACAAAAAACCGCGGATACTTTTTAGATGACCCAATATTTATGCCTTAATACTTACTTAGACTTAAATTATAGACATAAGTAACGCACAAGCTTTCACGTATGACGTACAACTTATTGCCATGTCTCTAAGAGATGGCAATGAATCGTACGTTTTAACAAATCGAGAGTTACGCGTCCTTTCGGTTAAGAAGAAACCTACGGTAATCCCTTCATGAATCTTGCTGGTGGTTCGGTCCGTGGTGTGGGACACGCGGCTCTGGACTCCGGTTGGTCAGGCTCCTTGTAGGTGCTCGATGATTGGCCGGCGCTGATTCCGCTCGTTCACACACACGATCTCCAAGTTAAACGATAAACGTATACGCGCGGCGGCGTTTATTGTAAAAGGAGAAGTTTCGTCAAATATTATTATATATACGTACTTATAATTGCTCAAAAGTAATTAGTGTATTTTATAACTTCTGCAGTTGCTACACACATATCCAGACTTATGTTATAACTAATAATTAGATGCGGTTAACTAGGAAGGTTAAATAAGATGTACCTATGATTAGATTGGATTGCTCACGCGAGTAGAATTTAGGAATTAAACTAGAAATCACGATACTCTGGAAGAGACCGTTTCTCTTCGACCCGACCTGACCCCGGGAGGTTTTGAACTGACTGCCTAAAACACTCGCTGCTCGCGAGAGAGAGCAAGTCCCGTTTTTTAGAACCCGAACGCTTTCAGGAAAAAGGTGCCCCTCCATGCTGGTAGGGCGCGTGAGGTGGGGAGAAGATGTCAGGGGCGGTCCCTGCAGTTCTAGTGCCCCGTCGGTTATTGAAGTAAGAAAAAATTTGTAATTTGGCCAGGGACATTCCTGGACAAGTTTTATAAGTATCGCTGACGTGACAGAATATAATATCAAACTTACACATCAGAGCTCTGATTAGACAATTCGTTATTCCCTGTTGTCTGTGCCTATTGCCTGTGCCTGTTGTGTTTAAATCTTTACATCAATTGTGCTCAGATCCTAACGCTTGCAGCGCCACATGCTGCTGCGGACTACTGATAAAGTGTAAACTATATAGCATTTTTCTTAGGGTACATCGTAGATTGTAATGCGCATGCTCCATACAATCAGATACGCGTGCGCGGTAAATGCTTTAGTTGAATAAAGTGTACCGTTCATTGCAAACTAGAAAACACGTTTCTCTCAGGTTTCTCTCTGCACATAGTTGCTAGCTGTAGCATATTTGATACAAAAATTAAATTGAAATACAAAAATGAAATTAAGGTTAACGTGCCATTAAAATAAGAAGAAGAAGAATTGACATACATATTACTTATTTACAATAAGTGAAAGAGCAATTACAAAACTTAACCTCCAAACTAACATTACAAATTCTGTATAATAATACTATACTCACAAATAATTAAACTTACACATAATACAATATGTAAACGCTCTTCTCTTTTTTACAAAATATAGTAATACATTACCACAAATTGTCACTTATAATTTTCACTCATAGAATACGTAGAACCAAACACAGTTCACGAATAATCAATGTGTTTTCTAGTTTTCTGGTACACTTTATTCAAATTAAGCATTCACCGCGCACGCGTATCTGATTGCATGCGCATTACAATCTACGATCATTATCTCTCCTTGTCAATCTTCTCGGCTTCAGCCGAATGTACGTACAGTCGGAGTCTAAAAGGTTGAAACGCTTTTTTATAAATGATTTTCGGAACGTAGCAAAATTGTCAGAATGCGAACCACTGCTTGCATAGCGATTAGGATAGCTGTCAACGTGATGATAGAATCAAAACATAGTGAAGAAATGCATTTTGTGAGCCGCGAAAGTTTAAGATTCCAAATGGATACCAAAATTAGGATAAGTATAAAAGAATAAGTTAAATCCATAATAAGAATAAGTTAGATGATGCATTTTGTACTCATAAAATAAAATTTCTTTTCTTTTTTTTGCAGTTGTGCAAATGGCAGAAGAATTTAATGCTCGGAATCATGGCAAAGTTCTTTCTCAAAGGAAAGGCAAGCTGTTATTTATAACAATATTATGAGTCGAAGACTTAAACTTAATCAACTTAAACTTAATCTTTCCTAGCAAATTCATAAATTTTATACTTGTTATAATAATTGTATAAATATTTATTAGGTAACGGAGATACAAACTGATTTTGTAAAGAATACGTTCTCAATATAAAAATAGTTTTATTTAAATACAATAATTATATACAATAATATTGAAATACTGAGTTTGTTAAAATACTAATTTATGTTATAAAAGTTACTAAATATAATTTTATTTCTAACTCTGCAGGAATTCTTACTTTAGTATCATTGAATTTCCTAATGCATTAATAACAATCAGTAGACCAGGTTACAACGCTATGATTCCAATTGATGAGATTCAATAATCAGATCTTATTTTTTAAGCAAAGCAAACGAAAAAATTTTACTTCAACTTTAGAACTTTTCGTCAAAATGATGATATTTATTAGTATTTATTAGTATTTATTAGTCATTTGACTTAAAAAAAACTAATATAATTTTTATTTATAAGTTGGGACGAGTTTTTTTGCACAGAATTGTTGGATTCTGCATCTAAACACACTTGTGTGTTTTATATTGTTCAATAACAAAATTACAACAAAAAATGGATTACAATGAAAAAATGAATTACAATATAATGAAATAAATTATTAATAAATGAATTATATTGTTGACTGATAAATTATAATAGCTATATATTACTATTAGTTAGTGTTTGCTGAGAAATTAAATATGATGTTACATATGTTACATGATGTTACATATACATGATATATATATGTTTTATTTCACATTATATGTATGTATATACGAATATCTTACATTAACATTAATCTCGAATATGTAGACGTTAATTTTGCATTAACATATGCAAGTATTTCGTTTCTAATATGTATGACGTGAAGTCATCTACTTCGCAGCATTTCAGTCAATTGTTTTGTTTATTATTTTTATCATTTGTTGCCATATATAATAATAAATAGTATAAAAATGCCTGGACCGACTTCACAGCATGAGGTGTAATATTTGCGTACATACATGCAGAATTAAAACATATAGAAGTTTCGAAATTGTGTAACGTTAATGTAAGATATTCATACAGACATATAATGTAAAATAGTATGTACACAGTGCGACAAATATGTTCCCGAACACGAACCACATCTCAGCAACCAGTGGCGTTCACATCTGTGCGTTCAAATATGCATTTTAAAGGTTGAACATTTTGCTATCATCTGTCAAAGTTTCATTCATTTTGGTTGACATATAACGAAGATATGACAGTTCATGTTAAACAAAATTTTGGTCGAGGTAGAAATTTTAATATGGAACAAAGAGCAGTGATTAAATTTAACGCAAAAAATGCATTGATAAAAGTGCATCAGAAGTATTCCGATCGATGCAACAAGTTTACGGTAGTCAATGTCTAGGTCGTACAGCTGTTTTTGAGTGGCATAAGTTTTTTGGAAGGCAGAGAGACCCTTGAAGATGACAAAAAATCAGGACGGCCAATTTTGGTTCGAACATGATCCGAAATGATCGAAAAAGTATGTGATTTTGTTGCAAACGATCGCAATGCATCACTAAAAATAATGGAGGAGGCTTTAAATATCAGTAGAGAAACGATTAGAACCATATTACATGAAGATTTGGGTAAAACGAAGGTTTGTGCGAAGTTTGTTCCACACATATTAAGAAGCGATCAAAAATCAGCGAGAATCAATTATTCTAGAGACATCATTGCAGCCGCAGAAAATAATCCAAACTTCCTAAAATCAATTGTTACGGGTGATGAAACATGGTGCTTTCAATATGATCCAGAAACTAAGCGTCAAAGTGCGGAATGAAAGTCAAAAAATTCACCACAAGCAAAAAAAGTATGAAAAGTTCCATCAAAAATCTTGATTTGACCCCCTGCGACTTCTCATTATTCCCAAAATTGAAATTGAAATTGAAAGGACGCTTTTTTGATGACATTCCGACCATCCAATCAGCTTCTTCACAGAGGCACTAGAGGCAATTCCGCAAACTGAGCTAGAACATGCATTTAAATCACTATTGAATCGCTGTAACAAGTGTATTGAAGCCAGAGCAGAATATTTTGAATAATAAAACCAAAAAATATGTATATTTGTTGTTTCAATTATGATTTTCAGGTCCTGTCCGGGAACATATTTGTCGCATTGTGTATATATAGCATCATATTTAACATCATATTTAACTTACCAGTAAACACTAATTGTAACATAACTATTATAATTTCCCAGTAAACAATGTATAATATATACATATTAGGTGTTGGAATTAATTCGTAGCGTTTTTAATGAAAGAATGTTATTTATTTCACATGAGCATTAAAAAATACATTAATGAAAGTACTTCCCATCACTTGTAAAACGCTACGAATTAATTCCAACACCTAATATATGTATGTATATGTATAATGTGTATATACATATATATATATGTATATATTATATATATTATGTGTATTATATATATTATATTTGTTGACTAAAATATGTTACTAATAGTTCGTGTTTAATGGTGGGTTAATTTGTAAAATATCTATTTATTATATTACAGAAGAGCATGATATGGATTAATGCGACAAAGAGAAATAGGCTATAGAAGGCTATATAAATCCTCGACTGATCAGGGCGACCACATTGTATTACGGCTGAGGAAGACATCTGGTTATCTTAGTGCAGGAGACTGAATTTCGCACAGCGCGGCAAGCGATAGTGGAAGCTAATATTAATATTAGTATATTATTAATAATAATTGTAGTCTAAAAACTGTGAGATGTAGATGAAGGAAAATAGATATTATTTGCCGGCACAAAATGAGCGATTAACAGAAGGTCACAAGAAGCAACGGATAGTTTTGACCTTGAACCTTCAGTATGGGAGGACGAATGGAGAAATATCATTTTTTCTGATGAAAAGATATTTTTTACGGGTGTATCAGGGCGCGTATTACTGTGGAGAACGAGAGGAACGAGGTACTCAGATAAGAATATTCATTTCCGCCAACGATCTAGCCGCATCATATTGGCATTTTTGAGACATATGTCTTCATATGACCATTAGTGCGTACCACATGATGTGCGTATCGCTCATGAACAGTGAGGAATCCACACATCCACATCTTGTTCGATGTGATGCTGCTATACATCGTAGAGACATTTCTTGATCTATCGTCCGTTTCTTTCGTTTAGGATAATTCAGAAATGCATCGAGTGAGAGTTGTTCAGAATTGACTGACTATGCAACCCAATCTTAAGACGTTGGATTGGCCAATCAAATCCCCAGATTTAAATGTGATAGAAGATCTTTGGAGTACAAGAGTGGAATTCGCAAATGGTGAGAACACGCGAGGCACTCGAGGCACACGTAATTAATGTATGGGAGGCTTTTCGCGCGAGACCCGTGTTATTCCAAAACTTAGTTACATCTATGTCCTAAAAATTAAATGCTGTGATAAAGAACCATGGAAGTGTCACACGATATTAACCGTATGTGATCTTCCATGGTTAATATATGTATAGATGACATTTGATATTGAATGATTATAAACAATTCTCAAAGACCCTCACTTAGCTCCGTAAGAATATACAAAATACCTTGTTCCTGCGGGCAAGTATATATTGGAGAAACTGGGAAAATGGTTAACTTATGGATAAAGGAATACCAATGTGATGTCAGGCTAAAACACGTCACGCAATCAGCATTATCAGAATGTAACATCAAAACAGGATATCAAATACTGTTTGACAAAACGACCACAATAGCCAACATTATATCATACTTTCCAAGAAAGTATAGAGAAGCCATAGAGATACAAAAACACCCTAACAATCTAAATAAAGATAATGGCTACAACATAAATAAAATATGGAAAACGAAACAAGGTTCACGAAACGTTGGCATTCCAAGAATAGCTGGAGGAAACACGGAGGAAACCTGCGAAACGCATAATCTTCAACTCTATGAATGAATGAATGAATGAATGAATGAATGAATGAATGAGAAGAACTGAATCTTGAATGAAGCACAATGTAAAAGCCATCCGAAATATCTTTGGTGCACATTTTGTTTATTTTTCTATCACTACCATTTATCACTATCGCTGCCACTATCAGTCTCCTGCGAACACTAATCAGGTCTCGTTTTTTATAAGACACTAGACTATGGGTGTTTTGTAAATTTTGTAAATTTGCTAAGTTTTGTATATGTTTATTTTATATAAATTATATATTAAATTTATAGTATTTTAATCTAATATATTATAAACAAATTTATTCATACTTAGATAAAAATATTGCAACTGCAAATATAAATCCACAATTGTCCGAAGTAACAATTTTGTATTTTATTAAGTAAACAAGGATTTTGGTTTTATATTTAGTACTTTCTTACCGGGAATATCGAAGCTAAATTACAACCTCCACAGAATGAAACAATAATAAACGGTTTATAAGAAAAAGATGAATTTTTGGATGTCTGGAAAGAGTCGTTAAGAGAAAAGTTCGAGATAAAGATCTCTAATTGCTTCTTCATTAGTCTTAGCTATATTTTTTTATGAACCTGTACCTATAATATAGATTATAATGTTAGAGACATTTTAAATGTTCATTGCATTTTAAATAATTTATTGCTGTATCCTTAAAGAATGCTATGTTCAACAATGCCAATATTTTATTAACTACTAGATTTATTGATGGTATGTCAACAATAAGTATTCAGCGTACAACTTTGTTTCCGTTTTTCTATAAATGGCTTTAGCGGTAAGTGGTGGTCGAAATAAATAGATCATAGACGTCATACAATAAACTTGGGCATCTGTCAACATAACCCCATAGAAACATTAATCGATTTGTGTCTGCATCATAAAGTTATTCTCGATTGAAAATGTCAGTTTACGAGCCAAATTTTTGTCATTTGCGGGAGATTTCAATTTTCTGCTTCAATATGAAGAAATCTGGCGGCTGAGGCTCATCGAATGCTCTCAAATACTTATGGTGAGACGGCTATTAATGAAAGAACGTGTCGTGAGTGGTTTCAACGTTTCAAGAACGTGATTTTGACGTCGAAGACCGGCATAGCGATGGAAGAAAGAAGGTTATCGAAGATGTAGAATTGGAGGCATTACTTGATCAAGACTCGTCAAAATCAAGAAGAATTGGCACGATCATTGGGAGTGACTCAACAAGCCATTTCAAAACGCCTCAAAGTCATGGGAATGATTCAGAAGCAAGGAAATTAGGTGCTGTACGAGTTGAAGTCGAGAGATGTTGAACGGCGTTTGTTTGCTTGTGAACAGCTACTTGAAAGGCAAAGACGGAAGGGATTTCTGCATCGCATTGTGACTGGGGACGAAAAATAGGTTCATTACGATAACCCCAAGCGCAGAAAATCATGGGGAGTTCCCGGCCATGCTTCCACATCGACGACCAAACCGAATATTCACGGCTCCAAGGTCATGCTCTGTATTTGGTGGGACCAGTTCGGCGTAGTATATTATGAGCTGTTAAAACCGACTGAAACAATCACAGGCGATCAGTATCGAACGCAATTGATGC